ATTTCTGAACTGTGAGGTAATGCCTTTATATATATATATATATATATATATATACACACACACACACAGAGAGAGACATGCAGAGTCATCTTCTTGGGTTTTAAGCCTTATTGCAGCTGCAGATGTGCTTGAAAAATGTGAAGCCACAGATCTCAGTTGTGTGGGTTTAACTCAAGCAATGTAGAACTTGCCCCGAGCAGTGCTCTGAGATTGCTTCCAATGGGCCTTTGTAAGAGCTTCTTTAGCAGCTGCTACAGAAATGGTAAGTACATGCTCTTGATTTCAGCAGACTCCATGAAGACAGCCACAGGGATGGTGTGGCCGGTGCTGGTGCCCCACCTACAGCATCATCACCCAGCACCCTGAAACACCACCCTCACAATTTAGGGACCAGGGAGAGGAATACTTGCAGAAGGGCCGCAACAGAGACCAAAACTCAGTATGAAGCCTTTGCACATCCTCTAACACAGCAGCAATTTGCTCCATAATTCCTACAAAAGCCTCAACTATTGCAAGGTTTGAGTCTACTAGATATTATAATGTTATTGAAGCTGCAGGGGCTAAGCTTGTTTCTACCTACAGTCCAGATTGCCATCCAAAACCATGCTTTCCTCCATCAGTCCATGGGATTATTCCTGCTACCAGATGCTGCTCACCACATGTAAGGCTTTCAGAGTCTTGCCCAGAAAGACAAGCCTCACTTTGTTATGTTTTTTTTCCACTTAGTTTTCCCATATTTGGGAGAAAACGTACAAGAGAAAAGGAAATGCAGATGGGCAGCATCATTATACAAAAAGCATTTCAAGTAGCAGGCTCCTGTGAAGGCAAGTTCAGAGTTACAGAACTGCTAATGGTCACAGGGACAATCGCATGCACTGCAAAATAGCTGTTTTGCCAGGTCAGCTCCTTGGCACCATCTGAAAGACCTGGAAGTCAAATACTTAATGATCTTCTGCCCCAGTAGGAACAATGTATTTCTACAGGATCGATGATCATGCATCCCCTGCAAAACTGGAGGAAATCAACTTCTCCATCTCCTTACCAGAAGCGAGCCGGTGGCCCCCCAGTTTACCCAAGACTCCAGACAGCCACCAAGCTTAAAACTAAAAATCTTAAAAGTAAAAAGAGCAGATCTGGGGGATGGGGCAGGCACAATGGATGCAGCCGTTAACGATGATTTATTCACTGTCAGTGACTCCCAGTCCTGCTGTGGTGCTCTGTTGTGCTTGCGGGACAGAATAAAGCTCCTCACAGGCCTGGGAATGACCAGAACCAGACCAGTCTGCCACAGAGATCCACGTCAGTATCCAGAGGAGGAGGAAGCATGAAATAGGAGAGCATTTTGGATGGGCAAGATTGTCCCACCTTCACCTGTGTTTGGGCTGGCTGCACAGGGAGAAATGCTTCTCCTTTACACATATTCTGCTTTAGCATTTACAAATAAATAAATGAAATATTTGTAGCTATACTTATATATGTAACATATATGTAAAATAAAATGAAATCCATGCAGTTCTCACAACCAAACTTACACCATCCTTTCTTTCTGGGAAACTAATAGCTGTGACAATGTGTCCTGGCTTTTCAGCTGTCCAACTTTGGGTACTTACCCAGAAAACTGTTTCTCTGCTTCCCCCATTGCCCATGGGGTTTTCCTCCCACCATCACCCTTCCAGCTCCAGACAAGTGCTTGAGGCTGCATCTGGCTTTGGCCAGGGACATCATGGGGATTGGAAAACCTTGATGCAGAGAGGGGTGGAGGGGAGCATGGAGGTGCTGTGCCACAGTGCCTGGGCCTGGTTTGTAGGTCTTACTCCCAAGCACAGTAACCAGTGTCTTACTTGGGGTTTTTGATATCTAAATAGGCCACAGTTGCAAACAGGTAAGTGATAATAGCACACTGTGGATGTGCAATTAAAGAAAAATTGTATGTTATAGCAACCTTACAATTTTCAAGACTTCTGAGAAACATCTGGGCCATCTCACCCATAACTTCATTTCTTTTTTTGCCAGTGAGAAAGGTCATGACTATTTGGAAAGCATCTTGAATTGCCTATGAGTGATGCTCCTGCTAATAGAAACAATGCTTTGCTTTACTATTGCACTCCCATCCCTGTCAAAAACACCTTCAGGATGACACACCAGCCTGGCATTCAGAGTCACCTGGAATAAAGGCAACTCCATTTGGATCTAACCAGAAGAAACTTCTTAGAGCACATGGGGACTCCTTCGGCACACAGGAGCGCTTGCCAGACTTCAGTAGCTGATGGCATTGTTTTCCAGAAGCTTTCAGAGGTATGGATTAGTATGAAGGTTCAAACTGTTGAATTGGAGTTTTAATAGAAATACAATTTATAAATATAAATGTAATTAACTGGTTGTATGCTTGCTTATGACAATTACAAGGTGAATGATGAGGTTTAAACCCCAGAGTCTCCCAGCTGCCTTGATGTGTCAAGCCTGAGCATCCGCTCTGAAACACTTGTTCCTGGTAGCAGGCAGAGAGCTGCCTTTGCAACAGACTGCACCGGGGGACCCCAGCACATCACCACACCAGCAGCCCTGCCCAGCTCACAGCCTCTTCCCCTAGATGTGGCAAAGCATCACATCTGGCCCCACACTTGGCACATCTCACAGGAGCCTCTGCTGCCTCCATCCTTGTCTTAAGTGAGTCAGTAGACTCCTCAAGCTCCCTAGCTGGACCATCACCTGCAGGTGAGTGCTTACTATCCTGTGTCGAACTCCTGCATGTGGAGGAGCAGAGGCGAGGTCACCCCACAGATGCTGAGCAGGAGTTTTCACTGCCCCTGTGCTGCTGCTGCTTCCCCAGCAAGGCCAGCTCAGTGGTTCAGCTCACTGACTGGTGCCAGGGCTGCTAGGGATCCCAGAGTGGCTGCGGCCCTCCTTCACTCTCTCTCACCATTTACCATCCCAGGGAGCTAACAAGCAGTCCCCCTTCCATGCTCACCCACAGCAGAGCAGCCACACCTCCAAAAATCCCCTTTCCTTCATCTCCACTTAGCAGCTGCAGTTGCCTATGGCTTCATTACTCACATAGGTGACACCAGTTACTCTTGATGGAACCAATTACCCCTGCCTGCCCACTATCCTCACACAGATGGGCAGAGGATGCTGTCCATATGTTTCCAAAAGCCGAATCAGCAGCTGACACAGCTCCACTGATGCACCACCCCAGTTCTCCCAAACCCAATTCCTTCTTCTTCCTATTGCAGCACCCTTTTCCCTCTGGCCCCAGTTTTCCTCATCTGACGGGGCACAGAAGTGGTCCTCAGCCACCTCTGCAGGCTGAGCAACAAAGCCCAGCGCATGCTGAAGTGCCAGCCAAAACGTTCACTTTAATGAGCTATCAACAGGCTTTAATATTTCATAGTGCTCCAATTGCAGAGTTACAGCTTATCAGAAATGTTTAAACGCTGTGCTTTCCTGATGGATAGGTAGGCTTTGCCAGGCGCTCAGCTATTTATTCACTATCTTATTTGCCTTTAAAAAAATCCCATCAGTTGTTATCAAGAGCCTGGAGTGAATGTGGGCCCAGGCACTGCAGGGAGCTGCTGCTGGAGCTGGTGCTTGGCATCCCCCATCCTGCTGGCTGCAGGCCAGGATGCATCCCAGAGGCAAACGGCCAAGGTCCCTACAGGCAGCCCCTTATGTGGGGCAGCAGAGCTGGCACTGCCCGGGCAGGTTGGTCCTACAGCACCTGGGACTGAAGCTATGCTCCTCTGCCACCATGCTCTTGCCTTGGCACCGTGCCTAAAGCTCACCTTTCATGTGGTTCCCAGCTCCTATGCTCAGGAATAAATGCCCATAAAATGAGGAAGCATATGCAGAATAAACCCCTGAAGACACAGAAAGAAACCGTGGTTTCTCATTGTTTGCCAGAAGCCCAGCACCATTACCCCCTCCTTCCTTTCAGATATTTTTATGCAAACTCTGCTCAATGCTGTATCACTTCCGAGAATGTTTTCTTCCCATCTTTGGTCCTGAGCATCACAAAAATCCATAATAGGTATGATAGGCATGAATTACCAAATGTAGGGATAACAGTAGGAGTATTGCTTACAAATATCATCAACAAAATCGTGGCAGCTCAAGTAAACAGGATAAAGGAAGCAAATGCATTACACTTGCCAGTCATGTAGGTGGGTTAGCTGATGTGTATCAGATTTGGCATGATCACCTTAGAGGAAAGTAAGTAGAAAAGTGCTGGTCACTTTTTGCCATGTTTCATATTAAGAAGTTTTTCCATGACTAGAGTAGACCTTCCTCTTCTCTCCTGGTTGCCTGAGGAGTTTTGCAATTGAGCTGAAAGTAATCAGCAAACAATGCAGCCAAGAGGCTGCAGTTACAGGGGCTGAACGAAGTGATGGCTTGCGTCCCCAGAAGTGTGGGCAATGATCACCACTGGGTGAAACGGGGACCCCCTTGCCTTGCCAACAAGTGAACAGCTGTGAAATCTTAATGGTAGGAATAAAAAAACAACAGAAAGGAAGAGTAAGGAGCTCACTCTCATCTGTGCCTTCTTTGCAGAGGCATCAGAGATACAACCTGTCGCTGCCTGCTCTGACACTGCAGTTGTCCGTTTTAAGTGGCATGCATCTTGCAGGTCCCCTCCCACGGGTCACTAAGGGCTCAGGTACCACTTTATCTTCATGTCTCTGGATGCTACTTACCCCTTCATTCTCAGGTGTAATTCACCCCCTAACTCTAACCCTTTGGTACCACTCATCCCTGTGTCCTCAAGCACTGCTCATCCCTGCACCCTTGGGTTTATCCCACATCCTCGGGTATTGCTCATCCTTATGTCCTCAAGTGCAGATTATCCCTAGCCAGCGATCCTGCCACCAATCGGTGTAGGTAAGTTTTGGCTCAGTGGCAAGTTCTGAGGCACATTTAGCTCGAGGCTCGGGTGGCAGGGAAGCCCCGTTGGTGACCCCTCCGGGGGTGTGGGGCTGCCGGGTCCCACGCCTCCTCGGGCAGGGACCAAGCCTGGCCCGGTGCCCCGTCCCGCACCGCTGCCGCCGCATTAGCCCGTGAACCGCCGCCAAATGGCCCCATCAATTTTTCATCAGGGCTAAAACCCTGCCCTGCACGGATAAAACGCGGCGCTGCCGCCGGGCGGGACGCGGGGTGTGAGCCCGCACCCGCGGGGAGCGCCGCCGGCTCCGCGGAAGGTGCGCGCCGCGCCCGGGCACGGGTTGCGCGGGGCACGGAGGATGGCGGGCGGGCGGGGGCCGGTGCCGTGCGGGCGGGATGGCTGCGGTGGGGCCGGGTCAGGGCTTTCTGCGGGGCACGCGTGGCTTCCGCAGGCGCGGTGGCTGGCGCGGAGGCTGGCGGCGCTGCTCGTCCTCCTGGCACTAGTGGCCGCCGGTTGCGTCCTCCGCCGCCGCGCCTGCCCCTCGCCCCGCCGCCGCCCCCCGCCCGCCCGCCGCCGGCCCCCGCTCGGCCCCGGGACCTGCCCCGCCGCCCCTCCAAACGTGCTGCCAGAGGCGGGGGCTCCCGCCGCCCCGCCGGGGCCGGGGCCGGGGCTGGAGCTGGAGCTGGAGCTGCCGCCGCTGCCCCGCTACGAGGAGGTGAAGCACCTGCCCAGCTACGAGGAGGCGCAGCGCTGCCCCCGCCAACCACTCGGGGCCGGGGATGGGGTCGGGGCGCGGGGGGGCTGCGGCTGAGCCCCCGGCCAGCTGCGGATCCGTGGACGGGACGCTGAGCAGAGGGACACAGAGGTCCCCGCGGGACGGAACGCTGGCACCACTGGGGGACGGTCAGCGGTCGGTCCCCAGGGGAGATGTGGGTCCAGACACGGCGGTCTCAGGGAAGGACGCAGTGGCATTCCACGGAGAGACACTGGACTCCCGGGGAGACGACATCTCTGGAAGGTTGCCCACCACAGTAGGGTCCACGGCAGGATGGCATGCTGGACACCGGGCTTTGCAGAAGGGACATACAGGGGCTCCAGGGGGGCAGCCTGCAGGATGCCAAAGCCCACGGAGGGATGTGGGAAGCGGATACTGGTGTGGCCAGTGGAACAGCCTGCAAAACCCCAGGGCTCCCCCGAGGGACACACCGCAGTCCTGGAGGGTACTGCAGCTTTGGGAGCGACTCCTTACCTGCCCGGGAGTGTAGGCTGGGCAGCATGGTGGCCAGAAATCGCTGCTTCTGGTCAAAAAGAAGGATAAGTCATTAAGTCATCCAGGAGGAAGCTGACTTGGGGACATTGCCTCTAGTACGAGGACATCACCTCCACAATGACATCACCTCTGGTACAATGACATGTTCTTTGTGGGGTGATGGAAACAGTCGCAGCTCAGTGAGAACTGAGCAGTCCAGCTCCCCTCGCCAGGAACGTGCTGTGGGCTTGTGTGTGATGGGAATGCCAGGTCTGCTCATCTGTGGAAGCAGCAGGAGACCATGCATGGGCAGCAGGGTCTGTATGGACAAAACTGCATGATATCGGCTTGACAGGGCAATCCCCAAACCCATGGGTGGAGGGGTAGGTGTGAGCATGGGGAAAAGCAAGATCAGGCTTTCACCTTTGGCATCACATGGTGGTTGTGCATAGTCTTGCCTTTGTCAGCAAGGCAAATGAAGGAGGGCAACCTCCAAAGCTTGCTAATAAATATTAGCACCTCCTGATGCTGTGCTCTTTATTCCACTGAGGTGACCTGGGATCGCTGCTGCGGTAAGGGAAATGACTGGCTCAACCCAGCACATGCCACACCAGGCCTCAGTGCTGACTGCTGCCAGGTCTCCTGCCCCAAACCCTCCAAGAAACCTCACTCCAAAAAAACAGCTGCCTTACTATGTGGGTCCCAGCTAAAATGCTCCCAACAAGAGCAGGCGTGAGATACCCCTGCTCCCCTCACAGGCAAGACTGGCAAATCATTTAGGTGCAAGAGATACATTTGTCACTCTGCAGAACTGGGGCTTTGTATATATGTCAGATACAGATACGGCTGTAGCTATTGATGTTTGCATCTGAATTTTAAAATATTTCTTGGTGTGGCTTCTAAACATTTCTACAACACACACAAAATTGCTAAGACAGAAAGATGTTCCCAGATACTGCATAAAATCTTTGTATCTGGTTGAAGTGGCAACCCTGCTCTTACTGGAATGAAGATGAGCCCTTTGTTATATAGTGCAGGCAATAGAGGCAGCCAAAGGAGGAGGAAGAGGAGGAGGAGGGCCCGAGATGGTTGTAACTCAGAGAATCCAGAACCAGATCCTGCCACACTTTCCCATCTGAAGCTTCTTGGGTTATGCTGACATGGGAGCAGTGCTGCATGCAAAAGGGAACCAATATTAGGACCTTTATAAAAACCAGCATCTGATGGTTTTTATATGTTCTGATGGAACAGAAAAGACTGTTCTTCAATGAAATATGCCACACAGTGGGGTAATTCTGTATCTCAAATAGCAACTTAGAAATGAAGGACTCCCTGCTGTATAGTTCTACTTTAATATTGCATTGTCACTATTTTGCCCTCCTTGGGCAGAGCTGTCCTCCCTCTTTCCCCCAGCGAGGAGTTTGTGGAGGGACCAGGGAGAAGGAAAAGTTCATTTACACATGGAAAGGACAAGGAAGACTCATCTCTCCATGGTTCACTTCTGATCAAGTCTTAAGCAGTCTGAACAAGGAAAACTTGGAAAAAGTGTGTGTTTTCTGTGAGACATTCACTGCCAGAATATACTTTGGGCAGATGCAGCAGAAAAAGCAATTTTCAGAATAGATAAATCAATAGTTTTTCCTCAACCTCCTTTTTCTATGCCAAAATACTTGGGTCTAGGAGAACATTCTGAGAAAGAAAGATTATGCGTGAAATATGGCCCAGTTTGGTGCTATGCCCTTACTGGGGGATGGCTAACACGGTTTCTAAGAAGTCTAGTTGTCAATGAAAAATGTCTTAAATAGAAATCAAAGAATTATCATCTTTGGCCCATGGCACATCAGTCCCTGTGGTCGTGCCCAAGCAAGTGGACACCAAAGACTGGGCAAGACTCACCCCTGTATTAAATTACTCAAGGTCAAGTCTGATGCAATTCCATGGAGAGGTTTGAATAGCCTGTGCTCATGTCTATCTGCAGACAGTAGTCCTGTCAAGGTGCTGGGTGCTTTTTACTGGAAAACTATGCTAGCAAGGCAAATAATAAACACCAACAAAGGGCAGAAGTCATCTTGATCCTTACCAATATCACTGTTGAATTAGCTGGGTGTTTCTAACTGAGTCCTTAGTTATCCACTGATTACTGCTTCATGCATAATTGCCCTGAGCTTCACCTGAGCTCTCCCCTTGAGACTGGAACTGGTTTGTGCTTAAAGACCTTATAAAATAACTTTCTTTTTTCCTAGCTTGAAGTTAGCACTTGGGGTGGAACTGAGGATCCTTCACAGCACATGGAGATGTACATATGAGCCCTCTTTTCCCTTTTTTGAAGGCATATCTCAAGGTTCGATTTGAAGACTTGAAGGTTTAATCTCAAAGAAAACCTGAATGTTTATTTAGCATAGAGATTAGATTATTTCCGAACTGCAGGATTCCAACTACCATAGTTATTTCTTTACATAAAGAAAATAATTCTTGCAGACCCTTCAAAAAAGAGAAGTTATTAAACATTGTAAGTTTTGTTCATCCATTTAATCTAATTGTTCCAGGCATCTTGCCTAGCTCTGTGCAGAGAATGAACATATCCCCCTCTTTCCCTGGAGATACCAGACCATCACATTTTCATATGCAGCACTCAGTCAGTTCTCAGTAGAAACATTCACAGCAGGGCAAAGGTACTTGAATTAAAACTATCAGTTTGCATTTCAGTATTCAAAATTTTATAGCATGGGGCAAATGTTGACTGAATTGCATCAATAAAATATACTTTGGAAATATATATCTTTACATACAACCAATTTGTAAACATTTTTCTTCTCCCCAACTTTCTCCCATACATACAGTATGAAATATCAGTGCAGAGGATGCATTAGTACATCAGATTTTAGAGGAAGGCAAAGAGCTGGTCCTAGGAGAAGACAGTAGCTAGACACTCAGGATAACTCTATGTTAACACAGGGCTCAGTGCACATTCATCTGCATATCCCACTGATTGCATAAAACCACAAATAATGTTATAGCCGTTGCAATTCCAATCATATATATATTCAGATGAGCAAGTAGAACACAACTGTATTTACAGAGTAATGAAATAGCCGATATTGGAGCCACTGAATTCATGTGACATGGGATATATCTGATGTCAGAAAAATAAAGAAATGTAAGTCTCAATATTTCTATGTTTAATATCAATCCTGAAATATAAAAATCAATAAACTGCTTTTTCTCAATTGTCCCTCTACCTCTAGGTGATATAATCAAGAATAACATTTGTTTTAGAAAGCTTCTAGCTTTTCCATTATTGGTTAGTTATTACTTTGACTATTCTGAAGTGAATAAGGCAACTGAAAACAATTCGACTTTATCAAGCCAAGTTGGCTTCCTAGGACACCATACTGTGATGCAGATGAAATTTGTCCCTTTTTAAAGCAGCGGCAAACAGCTAAGTCCTGCTTGGGCTCTTTTGGGCTCACCAAGCAGAATTTTGCATCTTCTTCTGCAGTGATTTTCATCATTTATATACCCTCAGCTTTCAGCTTTTTAAGCAAACTAGTGGAAACCAGGTTCCATGGGTGTTCTCGCAGGTCTCAGTGGGCTCTTTTGTAACCACATGCAGTCAGCTGCAGGGTCGGTACCTTACAGGAAATGCCAAAATCCAGCATGCTACAAGCTTCCAATCCGGGGGGAAAAGAGGAGGATACCAGGAGAGAAAGTTTTAGTCTCCTATGCACAGAACTCTGTGAGTCCAGCTGGATTACGTACAGTCCATGAAGAGCTGCACATGCACATGCCTTTGCCAGGACTTGGCCAGAGTCATGAGGGATTTAACATCCTGCAGTGCCTATTTTATCCATTTTTTCCTTCAACGGTTGTTATAACTCTTTCCAAAGTATTTCTGACCTTGCCTTTGTTTCTAGAGATATCAACCCTGTATATAATCAACCCTATAATCTTCTTTTCAGTTGATTATATCAATATTAATTCACAAAGTAAAATAGAACTTATGCTCTCTTGTGGTTATGAAATAGTTGGCGTTGGGTTTTTTATTGTAAATTCTTACTTTCATGGATGTGTAAGATAAAAACACAGTTGGCAGATCTAATCCCCATAGTCATCAATATAAATCAGCCAATAATTGAAATGGGGTAAAATTATGCCATGTATCTATTTTGCACTTACACAGAACTTTATATGTTCTATTTTGAACAGAAATGAATATGCAGATTGGTTAATTTATATGGAAAACCACTGATTAACATCTGGAATGAAAGTAGGATGAGTCATGACAGCTTTGGAAAACATGTTGAACAATGGAGTTCTTCACTGACCATTCATTACAGATGTGTCAACCCCCAGAAAACATAATTCCTGGAAGAGCAACGATTTGCAACGGTTTATATGTCAGAGGCTTGCATGCTCCAATCGCTTAATGAAAGCTCAGAAAGAAGTCTCCTATTTCAATTTTTAAGAAGCAGTGTCATCACTGTGTGAGTGCTTTTCTTCATGGATCCATTGCTAGGCAGACTACACACATTGCCAAGCATTTTTCATTATTCCACACCTCAACATTTTATTTAAGGTTTAAAGTTGGAAGGCTGCAGCAGATATGAGCTCCCTGCAAATGGGCATTAGCTCTTCAATACCTCTTCAGCTGAGCCCAGCAGATAGCACAGATTATCATAGAATCCTAGAATGGTTTGAGTTGGAAGGGACCTTAAATATCATCTAGCACCAACACCCCTGCTATGGGCAGTGACACCTTCTACTAGACCAGGTTGCTCAAAGCCCCATCCAAACTGGCCTTGAACACTGCCAGGGATGGGACAGCCACAGCTGCTCTGGGCAACCTGTGTCAGTGCCTCACCACCCTCACTGGAAAGAATTTCTTTGTGATATCTAATGTAAATCTCCCCTCTGTCAGTTTAAAGCCATTCCCCTTGTTCTATTCATACAGGTCCTTGTAAAAAATCCTTCTTCATCTTTCTTGTCAGCCCCTTTAGACACTGGAAGCTGCTCTAAGGTCTCCCTGGAGCTTTCTCTTGTCCAGACTGACTAACCCCAGCTCTCTCAGCCTGTCTCCATAGGAGAGGTGCTCCAGTGCTTGGATCATCTTCATGCCCTCCTCTGGACTCGTGTCAGCAGGCCCATCCTTCTTGTGTTGGGGGCCCCACAGTTGGATGCAGCACTGCAGGGCAGGTCTCAGGAGAGTGGAGTAGAGGGGAAGAATCACCTCCCTCAGCCAGCTGGTCATACTGCTTTTGATACAGCCCAGAAGGATCTTCTCATTTGGAAGAATCTTTAATGGTATATCTGTGAGTTGCTTGTGTCATGGTTAAGCTGCTTGATTAACCTTGTAAGCTTCAAAAGCTTGTAGCTGCAGGAAGGGCATCATTCTGGCAAAACTTGAGATTAACACCTTGCCAAAATGATGCCTTCTATTTTATAAATTATAAACATCCCCCAGTTATTTTTTCTTGAAAGCTAAACTGTAAAGGAATTTACCATTTCAGTCTAGGGGCACAAACCATA